AACTGAACACAGGGTAGAGGGCCTGGCTTTTCTAGGCCTTTCTTTAGAGAAAGATATGGATTTCTTGTCCTTAAGAGAACACCGCTGCCTGACAGCAACAAGAAATGCTGCCCTGGAGAAAAAGAAAGTGCCTTTCTTTCATATGGAGAAAAATGTGAATGTTTGCATAGCATGTCTCAAAATCTCCAACCACCTCTTTGTCTACTGGAAACCCCCTTGTTTGTAAAAAGACGTTCGTTCATTAGTGGAATCAGAAAGACCAGGATTAGACTCTCATTTCAATGACCAACTAGTTCTGCGTAGGAGCTTCCAAATCTGAAGAATGGGACTAACAGCATCTAAACGTGCTATGTTACTGGTAGAATGCATAGGACCATATGAATCCAAACATCAGCATGGCATCTGAATTACTGTCTTCCTTTCTTATTCACAAGTTAGATGGAATTATGGTGTATTCTGATTACTTTACATGTGTAGATCCTGTGTTCCCAAATGCATCAAACTATTGTTTAGTGACTATATTTAATATCTATTTGTTTCATCTCTCTCATGTACCAGTTCTGTGTCTGGAACAAGAAGTAAGCTACTGAAAACTGTTGTATGAATTAAATTGAAAAACTCTCTCAAACATTTTAACCATTGTAGAGATGAATAGTTATTTGAAGATTAAAACCATTAATTATTATTATTATTTAAAAGATTTTATTTATTTGAGAGAGAGAACACATGAGAGAGAAAGAGAGGGCGAGAGCATGAATTGGGGGGAGGGGCAGAGGGAGAAGCACACTCCCTATGGAGGAGCAGGGAGCCCAATGCAGGGCTCCATCCCAGGACCCTGGGATCATGTCCTGAGCCGAAGGCATACACTTAACCGACTGAGCCACCCAGGAACCCAAACATTAATTATTATTCCATTTGTGCATTTAGCCGCAAATGAATTAAGTATATTGGACATAACTATCAACTATAGGAAGAGATCTCAGATATTCATTTCACTACCTTATGAAACTGTCTTCAGAACATGTCACTTGAACTTATGTCCTGTTTCTCCATTCTAACTGAATTAAAAAAAAAAACCAACTGGCTCTTACAGAGAAAATATTATCGACAGCAAGTATTTGATTCCTTGGTTAATAATGTGTAATCAGAATAGAAGTAAAAACACACGATTTGAAGTCAAGCCAATATAGGTTTAAAATTCTAGCTTGGCCACTTGCTAGCTATGTCAGCCTGGCCAAATTATTGTCTCAGATCCTGTTTTCTCACTTGTACAATGGGGCTAATTATATTTAACTACCAAGGCAGTTGTTAAGACTGGAGGCAAGGCATCAGCCTTGAATCTTTTAATCTCTAGCCACATGATCGAAACATAGGTTTTACAGAACAATATTTAGTATATATAATGCACTCTTCTTTCTTTTCTTTCCTACTTTCATTTCTTTTGCTGAAAAAATTGTTCATGACCCATGAGGTTTGTGACCCACAAAAGGTCATGATGCGCCTTTTGAAAACAGTGGAATAGCATAATGTTTAGTATATAATACAGGAGTAACAAATGATTACTATCATTGTCGTTATGATTATTTTTAGTCTTTTTAGGATGTTTCATTATAGATGAGAATAAAATCTTTCAAGTACTTCTAGGAACTAACTCCCTTGGATGGGGTCCAAAATAGATTCATACTCATTGTATGCTGAATTATGCACTAGAGGAGGTTGTGCTATAGCAAAGTTCCTGTGTGCTATTCATGACAATGTTAGAGCAAAGGAACTAAGAAAATGTCTAGGCCCATTTCTTCATTTTTCTTCACTTAAGTATAGTTTTAAAATATTCTATATTTATTGCTCATTGATAAGTGGGAAAAAACTGTTTGATCTAGAACCGGGAGGTAACTAGGAAGAGTTGGGGGTAGGGTGACACTGGGTCATGATATCTGGGTTTTGGGTCTCCTTCTGCCACCAAATAGTTGGGTAACCTTAAACTCTCAGGGTTTCAGTTTCCTTACCTGTAAAACTAGGTGATTTCAACAGATGATTAGCTCACTTCTGATGTTCTTCAACTTCAAATCTCCAAACAGTAAACACTCCCAGAGATTATGTGAGATGCCACGGAGTGTTGTTTCATTACAAATCTGCTGTGAATGTATTAATATTTGTATATGGGGTGGCTGTCTTAGCCCATTGCTGCTCAGATGTGCACAGAGTCTGGCTCCTCTGTTCCCTTGATCCCTTCATCCTCAGCAGCGTTGCCCTGAATAATGCTGGATTTTGTACAATAATAGCTCAGACTCGATAGTCACCTTCTCCCATTGCTACTTCTTTCTCCAAGATGTTTTTTTATTGTGGGACAGGAGCATCTAGGACCTCCTGGTGTCAGGAAAGTAGGGTCCTTTGGCTAATCTCACTTACTAATACTGTTCTCTGTCTCCTCTTCTTTTTGGATCTCTTTGCTACCTGTTTGTTGCTCATGTTGGTAATGATCATTTCTACACTCTGTAGGTAGTCTAACTGGCTACCAGTGGGGTAGGTTATTTCCTTAACTACACTCCCAGATGGTAGTCAGACTTCCCAGCCACCATCTTTTAAAATCAGGTCAGATCTGGTCAGACCTCCTTAAAAGTGGCAGAAGGATGCGTGTCTGTCCACCAAATGCAACATAAAAGGATTATTAGGGTTTTAAAAACTTTCTTTTTTTTTTTTTTCTCTGACATCCAACTTTGCAGGAGGAAAATGGGGCTTGCCAGTTTATGGAGGAGGATGTGGCAATGAGAAAGACAAATCAGTTTACACCTTGAGTGAGAATCACCTGTGTGGAGGCTCAGATTCGGAATCCATCCTTAGGGCACAGGGGCAGAACCCATCATAACCTGTTCAGCCTTTCAGTTCCTCATGTCATCAGAAAGACTGGAGGGTAAACCTGGCTCTGGGAGTGACTTGAACAGATAGAAATTTCTTCTTTTTACTCTAAGGCTAACCATTAAAAAAAAGTACAAGGAAGAGTCATGCCAGAATGATCCCCACCCCCAAAATTGCTGGAAAACTAAACTTAATTTAGCAAGACTCCTGGCAAAAATATGTGGCTTCTTTTTGGAACACAAAAGGGGCAGAGGATTACTGACCAACCCTTCAGTGTGTTTCAGGAGTACAGCATGCAGATGGTGGGAACAAATGGGCAGCTTGAGACAACAGTCAGGATGCTGGATCTTTAGTCCGAATCTAAGAGGTCTGCTTACCTTTGCCCTTTCAAAAACAGCCTCTAGCCTGCAGGGATAAGTATTGTGTGTATATGCTGACCTGAGTGTAGAATGAGCAAGGGAGGTGGCTGGAGGCCCTGCCTTTACTTTATTTAACCTTTCTGACCAAGTTTCTAATAAAATTGTGGTAGGCCAATTGCCAGTGGTGGCTTCCAGCTGCTGACTTTTTCCACATGCTGGAGATCCTGTGAGGAGGAGTGAAGAAGGTTAAAATGTGCCTGTGAGCTAACAATCCATCCAGTGTGTTCTGTGGATGAAGGGTTCACAGATGAAGCTTGTGTAGCGGAACAACTGAGTGCATGTCTAGGGAGGGGGCTTTATGGTATTCTTCAGAGAAGCGGGGAGCAGTGAATTTCCAACATCCTAAAAAGCAAATAGCATGGAAGCAAGACGAGAGTTATCCCACTAAGGATGATTCGATACTTCCCTTTCTTCCTCTCTGACTCTAAAGTAGATCCTACGAGCATCCCCGAATAAGACTGCCAAGGTGAACTGGGGCGGACACAAATGGTCTCATCAACGCGCGCTCCTTATATTATTATAACTGCTTTGAATGGGGGCGCGATCAGCATTTTTTTCCTCCAGTGTGCCGGGATGCAGAGCAGGAGAGCAGGAGAGCAGGAGGCACCCGGGTGTGCATCTCTTAGGAGATGAGTGAATTTGTTAGAGGGGGTCTTTTCTGGCCTGGTGGATGGATGCTGGGGAGTGACGTCACCCCGCCCCCTCCTCTGCGTGTGTGTGTGTGTGTGTGTGTGTGTGGTGTGCGCCTCCTTCACCCAGCTCTCTTGCCTGCTCCTCCTTCGTCCGGCTCTCCGGCCCTTTCAGTGGGTCAGTGGTCCAGATTCAGGGATTCGCCAGCGGGCGCAGCGGGCCTGGCTCTCCCTGCGCCCGGGCGCACCCACACTCACACTCTCGCGCTGGCAACGCGCACACACAATCTCCCAGCGCGGGGGCACCGCGATTCCGTGGGATCCCCAGCACGGTTACGAGGATTTTAGAAATCACCCAGGCAAGGAAACAAAGAAAGAAGCTTTCCAATCACTTTCCTGAGCTTTTTCATTTAATTTCCCCACCAAAATCACCTCGCCTCCAACCGTAACCACCAGGTTCACGCCAAGTCCAAGGACTGGGCTGGACTGGCCATCCCACCTCCTGGCTCTTGACTCCGCTCGGGCGGGTCTCTAGGCTTCGCCTCGCCTCCTCTCCCCTGCCTCCCTTCTTTCCCCGCCGGCCTCAGTTTCTGGTTACCTCTCGCGTGCGCTTCACTTTTGGGGGGAAGAAGAGACGAAGGGGAGGGAGGCGCTGAGGGGGGCAGCCGAGTTGCTATTTGTGGCCAAAGAATCCTCTTTAAAAGAAGCAGCGGCAGGAAGGAGGAGACCAGAGAAGAGGAGGGAGGAGAGGAGACCCGGCCCCGGACCCCCTAGCCGCGAGCAGCGGAGCGTCGAGGAGCGGGAGGAGGAGGAAGAGCAGGAGGAGGAGGAGGAGGGAGAGCAGACACAGCGGCGGCGGCAGCAGCCTGCGGAGCGAGTGCAGGGCGAGCAGGAGGAGCGGGAGGAGGAGAAACCGCCGCGGAAGCCTCCGGCTCAGAAGGGCCAGGAGGACGGCCCGGGAGGAGGAGGAGGAGGAGGCGGAGGAGGAGGAGAAGGGGGTAGGGGTGGAGGGAGGGCGGGGGGACGCGCTCCTCTGGATGCTGGATTTCGGGTTTTTGGACTCACTCGCTGACTCTCCTCCACTTCCTCGCTCTGGACTGGGCTGGCCGTTCGAGGGCCGGGCGGCGGCAGCGACTGGGGGGACTCCCGCGGCGGCGGCCGCAGCTCGGCGGGATTAAATTGGCCGCCCAGAGGCGGCGGCTTGGGCAGGAGCGGGCTGCGCGGCCGTGGCGGGGCGCGAAGGCGCTGGGGAAAAGTGCTGGTGGCGGCGCGGGAGGCGGTGGCGGCTGCTGCCCGGAGCCAACATGACCAGGTAAGTCCCCGAGTGACCCGGTCCAGCCCCCTGTGCCCTCCCCTCCCTGCGCCAGGGGCTTGCCCTGAGCCCGGCTCCGGCAGCCCGCTCCTACCGGGCCGGGGCTTCCCACTCCCGCGTCCGCGAGCCCAGCGCCCCGGCTCCGGAGCGCACACAGTTTGCTCTTCTGAACCTCCTTGGGCAGAGGTCCTCCCCTGCACGGTTCGCTTGTCGTTTAAAACCTCAGACCAAGGGAGAGTGGCAATTCTAGAGAATGAGGGTGTTTGTGTATGTGTTATTTGTGCGACCCCCGCTCTCTCCTCCTAGGGTGGGTAGAGTATTGGGGAAATGGAGGAGCTGTGGGGCAATCCGACCCTACCCAGGAGGGATTCTGCCTCTGCATGTATCTGTATCTATCTATCTTTTTTTTTTTTTTAAGAGGCAGTGATTACTGTTTTAAAGAGGGCTGGTTATGGTGAGGGGGCGAATTCTTTTTCTTTCTTCCCTCCGAACTAGTGGGGGGAAGGAGAAATAGCAGGAATCAAAGTCTACACGGCTGCCATAGAGGAGGGGGATTATTTTGGAGACCTTTCCATGGCAGAATCAAAGATCCTAGTTCTGCTACGGGAATCTGCTATTCTTACTCCTTCCGTAGGGAAGGGAAAGCAGAATTTATAATGAAAAATCCAAGTTGTAGGAAACAATTTAAAAAGAAAGCCACAACAAACCAAAGCTTCTTGGCTTTTCCGTTGATTTATTGTAGCTTTTATGTAGGCATGTAGAAAACTTGGATTGTTTATGAGGTTGATTTTCATTTAGAAGCATTAACAAATGAAGTCAGTTTTCTTATGCTTAAAAAAAATTCTTGAACACTAAAGTGTGAGCTTGGCTTTCACTAATTGGGTGTTCTAGGGTTCTGAATAGTAGTTCAATTCTCCAAAACCGGGACTATCACATCTACTTGTATTGTTTCCAGATCGCCTCCCAGTACACGACTTGCCTAATGTCTCTGTTTTCTAAAATTCTTAGAGTGATCCCCCAAGACCAAGCTACAGTTTGTGCCTTAAGCACCCAAGAAGATTCCCGAGGGTTCACTCTTCTTGTATTTTCTCTTAAAGTTTTTTTTTTTTTCTTCTTATAGATGCCTATAGACACAGTGGCAGTGACTTAACAGAGCTTAGCACACTCATTTTGAGCCTCTTAGAGACTAGTAACTGCTTGTGACTTGAGATAGATTTGCTGTTGGACTTCCAGAGCTACAGACATGGATCTTTCCCTTTGATGTGTACTTTCCAACCATCCTGTAATAACACGAATATGGGGAGTTAGTCCAACCGTTCATACTTTTGACTATTTTGGCTATTCTGTCTGTATGAAAGTGTACACACCCACTACTCAACTTGAATAAAACCAAGGTGATGTACCAGGACTTGAAATATACTGATTTAAAAGAAGATTTAGATGATACCTACCTAAAGATTGTGTTATGTTGGTAATATGATGATATCCAGGACAATGCTTAGTAGATATTATACTTATTTTGAAAGCAAATTCTGTTACATGCCACAGATAGATATTATTTTATTGACTTAGCAAAGAGAATAAATTTTCAATGCTAGATGTCCGAATTCTTGAAATAGACATCCTAAATGGACATAGAAAGAAAATTTTCCTACCTCCCACCTCCCGTAATTATGTACTGTACTTTGCTTTTCAATGGAGCTAGCAATTCTGTGACAGATTTTTAAAATTCACCCTCATGCTATCAGCTATTATTGTACTTTCAAAGTGTGAAATTGACAAGCTGGTCAGTTTCATGAATTCAGCTGTCAGATTGTGTCCAGTTAAAAATTGCTAAAAGCTGTAAATGTGCCTGCCTGGAATTTTCTTTTGTAAAAGAAAGACAGCAAGAGGATGAGGATTAAGGGGTGTTATTAATTGTACATCTTTTAAAAATAGGTGCACTCCAATGTGAGTTTTATCACTGGCTGTTGTTGGGAAATACATGTCGATTTCTACTATTTTAAAAGTGGCCTTCAGTTTGTATCAGTATTTCATTTAAAATAGTTAGCACTTTACTTAGAAATTATCTGTTCTTAAAGCCCTCAGTATCCTAAGTATAATAAGAATGAAATTCAAAGAGGAAAATTGCCTCTCAAATATATCTTAATATATTTGAGTAATATATCACTTTTTTGTAATGACATGTAAAGAGGTGGATGTTAAATATTTTATTGTGGAGATTATGTAACACAAATTCTTCCTGGACCAGTGCAGTGGTAGTTATTAAAGTAATGAAATGTGGTGATCTACTTTAATATATATGTATTTTGGTAGATAACTATGAAAGTAAAACTGATTAAAGTATTAAATACAATGACTTGATTTGCCTTTTAATAATGACATTCATGTAAAGCCAGAATATCTCCAAGTGGAAAACTGAGAATCGGAATCCCCTCATCTGCTGCTGTCCGCTGAGCCACTAGGGGCCTGTATTACTGTTCTTATATCCAGGAGATACCCTTGTACGGCAGATGCAAACCCTTCCTAGAGAGACATTAAAAAAAAAAAAAAAAGTAGGCAGTCCCCTAAGTTTTTGTTTGTTTTTAACCTATTAACTCATGCTCTAGTGTTAGCCACGGACATTGATTGAAGAGTTTTTCAAGAACATTATTTACAGAGCTTCTCTGAAACTATGATGGTGTAAGGTGATTTTTTCATATAAAATGTGAAACAAAAGAAGTATTTGTGTAAATTCATATGTGATCCCAGATTCTCAGTGTATGTCAAGGATAAACAAGTAGGAACATTAATAACTTTTTTTTATTGGACTGATAAGGATGTTATTTGCATAATATAGGGTTAAAAGATAAATGAAGCAGAATTACTTTAAGGAAAGTGTAGTCGTAGATTGATGGTGTGATTAAATTCGCTTTGTAAGGTGCTGCGCAAGTTAGTATGGAAGGAGAATCTGAGTCTCTGACTCGTTTAGTCAGCATTTGAGGGACCTGGACTGAAGATGCACTATACATTTTTAAGTGTCAGTTTCACAAATTTGAAATCGACCAGCCGTGGCTATCTTGATGGACATTAGGCAATAAGGTCAAGTATACTTACACTGTTCTTTTGTTGATTTTCAGTTTTTCAAACTGACAAGGGTGACTGTTGGTAAAAGAGCACACTACCAGCATTTGCATATTGGATTTCCTTCAGACCCAGCTTGATTTATCAAGCCATTAAACAATTCTATTTTTAAAAAGATGCTATGGATAAATAAGAATTCATTAACATAATCCCATATGAAAAGTGCCATTTCAGGAAAGATGGATTTCTCAAGGTGATTTTGCTTTAAAACTACTCTTCTTCAGTTTCAGCTGTGTATTTGTGGGTAGTCTGAGAGGTGAATATGTGTGTGCTCTAACTTGTGTTCCTGAGAGCCTCAAACTTTTAGACTCACATCTTTAAATCTATGCACTTAATCTTTGCTCATAGGTACCCTTTTAGTTCCCCCGAAGTTCCTGGTTATCTCACAAAGGAACTTGAGCTTTGACATAGTGTGCTCAACTTAGTGGCCACAGAATATACCTTTAGGATTGGCATTACACGATACATGAAGTGCAAATATACAAATGTAAGTATTCAGTTTTCCAGAGTACTCGAAGAATATATTGGTTTTTTTTTTTCCCTATTTCCTTAAAGGGACAGTAGTTTTTGGTTGAAAAGTTTAGTGTGAGAAAATAAGTTATATTTTAAGTCAGGCCTACTCTGGGTGCCTTATTGCCTTAATGGAGCTATTTACCTTTTCTTTGTACTGTTTGGTTTCTTTGAAAAATTCATTTTGGAAAGCTACTTACTAGTGATGGCACAAAGGCAATGTGCAGCCTGAAGCAAAGTCAGTATTTAAAAACATTTCTTTTTATATTACTAATGATTTGCCAAGAAAGAGCAAAGAGAGGAGTTATTCTCTCTGTGCACTACAAGATTGAGGATTCCCGTATAACACATCATCTAAGAAATCTGATAATGTGGAAGAAGATTGCTTAGAAGGGATTTTTCAGTGAATTTTATTCCAACAAACATCACTTGTTTAAGCTTCTGTAATTTCATAACACAGTGACATTTCCACCAAAGGAATTGTTTGGGAATATGTTTTCTATATGGATAATCTCATTTGCTTCTAATTAGTAGTTGATAACACTTTTAAAAATTTCATGCTTGGCTTGCATTTATTTTGACAATTGAAGTGTCCAACTCCCCCCCCCCCGCCATTTTTTAAATAAAAATGTATTTCAGCTTTTCACAATTAAGCCCTTAAAAAAGACAGCTGAAAGAATATATGGCTTGTGCTTCCTGATTGTTCATTATACGAAATTACAGCCTTAGATGTAAAAGTTCAGCATTTTCTTTGCGTCATAAGTCTTGGGGAGGTCAAAGAGCAAATACTTATACGTTACAGCAGTCTCTGACCTAATGCAACGTAAATAATAAAGTCATGACAGTGGTGCTAGACTGAAGCATTAATGAAATAGAATTCTTATAAGAAGTATTTCACAAAATTACATTTGGGTCTTCTGCTCCTCGCTTCCCCTTGAATAAATTACCCAGTTGCTTTCATGTAATCAACAGTCAGTTTGCATTTTCTTCTTTTAACATTTTAGTCATCAAATATTTTTAAGACTTCGGCATTAAAGTAATTTAAGTATTATGACCACATATATTGCCATATTCTCAAAACAACGTGTCGGGGGAAAAAATGACTAAAATCGTGCCTGTAATGTCCTGCCTTCTCCCTCTCCAGATAATCCATTTGGTATCTTTCTGTTCATTATTTTCTATTTGATGCTGATATATATTTAATTGGATCATGTCAATACTTGTCAGTTTATCTATAGCTTTTTTAAAAATTACAAAAAAATAGAGCAAAACTGAACTTTTTATTCACTTTTCAATCTTTACTGTCCCTCAAATCAAATTCCTATGTGTCATGGATCAGTAAATGAAAGAATTGACAATTTGGAAAG